ATATGACTTCCATGGGCAGCTTCTCTAATCCTCCTCTACAGAGAGCTGACAGTGCATCCAGCCGTGGCCAAACAGGCCCTGCTGCCCGACAGCACTGACGCCACAGGGCCACACCCCATCTCCAACCCCTGCCTTGGCGAGAAGCCCTTCCCAGGACCCTGTCCATGGAGCCTCTTCACAGGGTCCTGTCACTGGGTACAGTGACATGGAATCATGGATCTCAGTGGAGATGAGAGGGACTGAGGGAAGTCATGGGTGACTGTGAGCAAACACAACAGGCAGGACGCTTCGGAATCATGAAAGATCAGCAACTCCAGTGCCGGCATTTCAGAAAGCAGGGAGACACAGAGCCACCCAAGAGAACATCACCTTACCTGAGTCAGAGCCATTCCTGACTCCTTTCCTTTCCTCTTTCCTGCGCTTTTAGGCTTTCTTGTTCACTTAACATGAGTCTTTCAGAAGTCAATCCTGAAAGATACAAATATGCTGCTAGATGCCAGGAATGCACACTCCCCATTCCTGGCCCAAACCAAACACAACAAAGACTCACCCTGTGGACAGACAGCCCCTGCCGCCCGCTGCACCACGGGGGATGCAGAGACATATAAACTCCTACAAACGACATACTAGTGAGTCTATGACCCCTTTCATCTGAACTGGTCCCCGCCTGGTGAAGCCCAACACGCACGCTGCAGCAGGGGGGAGCTGGGCTGGGCTGAGCTCCCCTCCAGGCACGACCCACCCTGACAAACCTACCTAGCACAATTAAAACACATAATTTTACTTAAATTAGCAATCTATTTAGGTCTTTTTTCGGTTTCTCTTTCTAGATGTTCTGTCAAGTTGGATAACAAAGCTGTAAAATAGTCTTCAGAAGACACTAGATTTATTTTAACCTAAGAATAATTTTGGGCGTGGGTGGCCACACCTGTAATCCTAACACTCTGGGAGGCTGAGGCGGGAGGATCGCTCAAGTCAGGAGTTCAGAGCAAGACCCCGTCTCTACTAAAACAGAAATTTAGCCGGCATAGCGGTGCATGCCTATAGTACCAGCTACTCAGGAGGCTGAGGCAGGAGGATTGCTTAGCCCACGAGTTGAGGTTGCTGTGAACTAGGCTGTCGCCACGGCACTCTAGCCCAGGCAACAGACCCAGACCGAGTCTCAAAAAAAATAAATAAATAAAGTTTCAGGGGTCTGGGGGAAGGACTGAAGCTTTAACTAAAGTTTCATTTTAAGTCAAGATAACCAGCATTGTTCCTATTGACCAGTGGGGTCAAACAATTCAGTACTCTTGATAAGCAAAGGATGGAATTTGGAGGGTCTTTATCTGGCTCTGTTCCTATAAAAACCAGAAGGCTTTTGTTAGACTTAATGAACTAGTGTGGGAAGTGTGATGTTTCCCTGCAGTGAGCTGCTTCCAGGAAAACAAAGGGTTGGTGGAACAGGGACATGGGTTGCAGTGGTTCCGGAATCTTCACTATTTCCTGGGATTACAGAGTTGAGTAAACTTCAACATTGCTCACAACATATGACAACATCAAGCAAAATTTAAAAAATAACAATATGTATGTTATATTTGAAAAATGCAACATAACAAAATTTAAACTAATAATAATTTTAACAAACTTGCTCCATATTTTGGTCTTTGAATGGTGTTGCAGGGCCAGGAGTGTTCATTTTGGCTGTGTGGTGTCTGCTCCTGTCACATACAAGAGACATCATTAACTGTTGAAACATGTAGCTGTTAGTATCCTAAGCCAGGGGTTTATGTAACTGTTTTTTTTTTTTTTTTTTTTTGAGACAGAGTCTCGCTTTGTTGCTCAGGCTAGAGTGAGTGCGCTGGCGTCAGCCTAGCTCACAGCAACCTCAAACTCCTGGGCTCAAGCGATCCTTCTGTCTCAGCCTCCCAAGTAGCTGGGACTACAGGCATGTGCCACCATGCCCGGCTAATTTTTTCTATATATATTAGTTGGCCAATTAGTTTCTTTCTATTTATAGTAGAGACGGGTCTCGCTCTTGCTCAGGCTGGTTTTGAACTCCTGACCTCGAGCAATCCACCCCCTCGCCTCCCAGAGAAGCTAGGATTACAGGCGTGACACGCGCCCGCCTGTAACGCTTTTTTTTTTTTTTTTTTTTGAGACAGAGTCTCGCTTTGTTGCCTAGGCTAGAGTGAGTGCCCTGGCGTAAGACTAGCTCACAGCAACCTCAAACTCCTGGGCTCAAGCAATCCTACTGCCTCAGCCTCCCGAGTAGCTGGGACTACAGGCATGCGTCACCATGCCCGGCAAGTTTTTTCTATATATAGTAGTTGGCCAATTAATTTCTTTCTATTTATAGTAGAGACAGGTCTCGCTCTTGCTCAGGCTGGTTTCGAACTCCTAATCTCGAGCAATCCGTCCGCCTCGGCCTCCCAGAGAGCTAGGATTACAGGCGTGAGCCACCGTGCCCAGCCTGTAACTGTTAAATTGAATAAAAACTTTGAGTTATATAAAAAATGGGCCAGGCATGGTGGCTCAGACCTGTAATCCTAGTACTTTAGGAGGCCAAGCCTGGAGAATCACTTGAGACCAGGAGTTCAAGAACAGCCTGAGCAAGAAGAGTGAGACCCTTACTCTACTAAATATAGAAAAAATTAGTTAGGTGTGGTGGTACATGCCTCTATTCCCAGCTACTTGGGAGACTGAGGCAGGAGGATCACTTGATCCCAGGAGTTGGAGGTTGCACTGAGCTATGATCACACCATTGCACTCCAGCCTGGGTGATGGAACAAGACCCTGTTTCTAGAAAAAAATATAAATCAAAATTATACAGAGATGTAAACAAAACTGTAAACAATGAAACATTAGATCTAAATGAAACACAGGATTTTATAATCATGCACTAAACAAGGCCCATCAAAGCAAGATAAACAAACAAAAATGGGGTCATGAGAAAGAAGATTTCTGTTTCACACTAGAAAAAAGAAAAAACAATACTGGCCTATTAAGAATTAAACTAGAGAATAAAATAGCTCTTAAAATATAAGAAAAGAGATTGGAACAAAGTATTATTATTCATTTAATATATACATATACACAAAACAATAAAACCTACTCAGGCTCAAATAATTAGAAAATGTACATTATTAAAAGTTGCCATTTTCCTATATAACCCAAATATAAAAAGATCATGGTAGTAACTTTTGCTTAAATGAGTGAGAAATCCCATTTGGTGTAGATGGCAGATGGTACCCTTGTAGCTGACACTAGAGACAGAATTTTCCCCAATCCAGCAAAATAAGAAACACACCAACAGAAAAGAGTCAATCACTCTTTCCATCACCCAAGCTGGAGGATTCCTTTGATGTCTGGAGTGAGGTCGGCATGCTCAGAGGCAGCCAGTGCGGCATTATTTGTATCAGTGGAAAATTATAAAAGACCCACCTGTCTTCAGAGAATGCTCCACAGAGGATGAAAAGGAGCAAACTCTCCTGCTTCCTAACTTGACAACATGTAAATTTTCAAAACCTGCAGGATAAAATATCACAACAAAATATTCACTGATGAATTTATTCAAAATCACAACAACAATGTACAAACACATTTCTACAGGGCTTGGGCTGCCTCTTGCCACAGCACTAACAGCAGTGGGTCCCTACTGAGATGAGAGGCAGGCTGGGAGGCTTGACAGAGGATGCTCTGCATCTTAGCACCTAAGTGAACTGTGATCTAGGGTTTTACAATGAAACAAATGTGCACACCAGGTGATGTCTCAAATAAACGTTATATGCAATAAAGATAGAATGAGACTATGGCTCCATTCTCTCTAATGACAAACAAGTTCTACCCTGGGCTGGGCCTGCTGGCTGATGCTTGTAATCCCAGCACTCTGGGAGGCTGAGCCCCAAGGATTGCTTGAGCTCAGGAGTTCAAGACCAGCCTGAGCAAAAGCCAGACACCCGTCTCTACTAAAACAGAAAGAGAATTAGCCGGGCATGGTGGCACATAGCTGTAGTCCAAGCTACTCGGCAGGCTGAGGCTGGAGGATCTCCTGAGCCCAGGAGTTTGAGGTTGCTATGAGAGAGGCAGACCATCAAAGGCATATAAGAATGTACAACAAAAACTCATTTCAAGTTCAGGATGAAAGTCATAAATACTAATGTACCCTTTTGAATAGACCTCAAATATGGGTTACGCCCCGGCACTTAAGCCCAGGCAACAGAGTGAGACTCTGTCTCAAAAAAATATATAAAAGAAAGAAATTAAGAAGTTGTGCTCTGTTGTCTGAGTGAAATTATAAACATTTTTACCTATAACACCTGCAACGCAAGTGTCCCTGAGCAAACACCACAGTCTTAGTGGGACCAAAGTCCTCAGAACAATTTAAAAAATATTCTGTAGTTACATATTTCTATCAATTTCATATTTTAAAATCAATGAAGGAATAAAACCTCCTCTATCTCTTACGTGTTTCTCAACTTTCCAATGCATTCCATGTGTGTGCATGGCATTCCAATGCATTCCTAGTAAGAGACATACAGACTCACTAGTTTCTCCTCAAATGATTATAAAATTAAGCACAAAATGTTTCCTTATTGGTATCCTCAGCAAGAATTTACCAGATTCCTATGTATATTAATATATGACTTCCATGGGCAGCTTCTCTAATCCTCCTCTACAGAGAGCTGACAGTGCATCCAGCCGTGGCCCCTAAACAGGCCCTGCTGCCCAACAGCACTGACGCCACAGGGCCACAGCCCATCTCCAACCCCTGCCTGGGTGAGAAGCCCTTCCCAGGACCCTGTCCAATGGAGCCTCTTCACAGGGTCCTGTCACTGGGTCACAGTGAGATGGAATCATGGAATCTCAGTGGAGATGAGAGGGACTGAGGGAAGTCATGGGTGAGTGTGAGCAAACACAACAGGCAGGACGCTGCAGAGTCACAGAAGATCAGCGACTCCAGTGCCCGGCATGTCAGAAAGGAGGGAGACACAGAGCCACCCAAGAGAACATCACCTTACCTGAGTAAGAGCCATTCCTGACTCCTTTCCTTTCCTCTTCCTGCGCTTTTAGGCTTCTTGTTCACTTAACATGAGTCTTCAGAAGTCAATCCTGAAAGATACAAATATGCTGCTAGATGCCAGGAATGCACACTCCCCATTCCTGGCCCACAACCAAACACACAACAAAGACTCACCCTGTGGACAGACAGCCCCCTGCCGCCCGCTGCACCACGGGGGATGCAGGGACAATAAACTCCTACACAACGACATACTAGTGAGTCTATGACCCCTTTCATCTGAACCTGGTCCCCGCCTGGTGAAGCCCACATGCACGCTGCAGCAGGGGGGATCTGGGCTGGGCTGAGCTCCCCTCCAGGGCACGGACCCACCCTGACAAAACCGGATGCAGAGCACAGCCCCCCTCACCCCACTGTGGATCATGGGCAGAGCTAAGGCCTCAGAAATAGAGGACGAAGAGCTTTGATTCTCTATGCTGGATACAGAATAGATCAATTTCAAGCATTATTGAAACTCAGGCGCAGTCTGAGAATGTGTGTGGGAATCTCTGGCTGAGCCCGGCACCTCCTGATTTGTGATCTCCTCTCCCCCTGGGGCCTTGTTGTCACCACTGTCTAGAAAATGAAAGGAGAAGGAACAAAAAGAAACATGGAGAGCTGCAATGTGGTACTTAGGTGGCGGTGAGGGTGTGGCTGGAATGGTGAATGGGGATGGGTCACAGAAGTCCCAACTGAGAAGGTGACATCAAAATAAACACCTGGGGAACAAAGCATGTTGGTCCCCTGCAGCTGAGGGGCCTGAGAGTTCTAGGCAGAGGGACAGCCCACCTGGAGACCCTGAGGCAGGAGCCACCTTGGCCACAGGAAAGGGGAAGAGGCCTGTGTTGCTGGAGCAGAGCGAGGACGACACAAGCAGGAGATGAGGCCAGAGAGGTCCTGGGGGAGCAGAGCAGGGAGGGCCAGGTCTGCACACATTTCTCTCCTAGACTCAAAAGAATCACGAAAATGATATATTTCTTCCCTTGTCTTAAGAAAAGAATTTTTTCATTATTAAGTAAAATTACAAACAATGTACTATCTCTTAAATTATAAATACATGCTGACACATTCAGCTAAGCCCCAGGAAATACAGGGTCACTCTCACGTAAGATGTGGGACTGCAGGGAACACATCTGGGGGGAGTTCAGAATGTCCCTCTTGGACATATGAAGGGGGAGGTGCCTGTTAGATGACCAGCAGAGATGTCACAGAGACAACCAGACACAGGATTCTAGAGTTCTGGGGAGAGGTCTGCAGAGGAAATGGAGACCCACTGGTGGCGTTTATACCATGAGATGAGATAATAAGGAAAGGCAGTAGGTGACAGAGATGGGAAGACATTAAAGGACTGAGCCTTGGACACTGCCACACTCAAGAGAACAGGGAGTTCATGAGACACCAGGACAGGAAAGTGTGAATTCATCAGGGAGGCGATAAGAAAATTAAAATAAATAAAGTTGTAATGGTTAGTGGAATGTCCTGAAGGCAAGAAGAAAAAAGAGGGAACAATCAACTGTGCAACATACTGCCAACAGGAAAAGAAAGATGAGCACAGAAAATTAAATGTCGGATTTAGAAATGGGCAGGTCCCTGGTGACTGTACTAGATTCTTAAATGAAACACAGAAGAACGTTACTTACTACTGTGAAATACATAGTTCATAGAGAATATTTTGTTTTAAAAATGGAAGAATGAATGAAACAAAAATTCTTACATACTGTGCATTTATGTGTGTGTGTATGTTTTAATAGACAGTACCTCTGTCTGGGTGCAATGACCAAAATAATTCCCTAGATGTAAAAATTGATGATGCTGTGAAGGATGCCATGCCATCCGGAGACTGTGAGTAGGGCGGCAAGTGGCACATAATCGCAGGGCCAGCAACAGCCAGGAGCAGGGACAGACCATTCCCCGGCATACTGAGTAGAGACTACAGGCCCTGACACAGGGGGCCGGGCCTATACGGGAAGCTTTCTTCCTTTGCTTCCAGGGGCTCAATGGAGAAAGAAGTAAGGTCTTTGAGAGAAAAAGATGGAAGAGAAAGAGTGAAACTCTACTCAGAGGTTCACAGTCCCTATTTTACCAGATCAAGTAAAAAAAGTCACCGTCGTCTGGCCGAATAGGGACTGCAAGGGAAAGACAGATTCTGACGCCGTAATTACAAAATGCACGTGTCTTACAGACCGGACTTTCCAATTCTCACCCTCGACCGTGTCATCGAAACAAGTGTTGACTGTATTAGATGACAGAGAAAGAAACGAACACACCCCGACGTAACCGTCACATGCCATCGCCGCCCACCGTCGCGCTGGCCTCCTCCGCGGGCGCGCAGGGAGAGCGGCGGCTGCGAGGGGAGGCCTGGGCGCCGAGGGCGGCGCGGAGGGCGGCGGGTCCGGGCGGGCGCGCGGTGCAGGCCGGGAGGGCGCGGCTCTCCTGAAGGGGCTGCGGCACGGCGCCCACTAGGAAGGCGGGAGCGCGGCCGGCCGTCGCAGCTTACGCGGGCGGGGCTGGCGGCCGGCGTCACCGGAAGGTTCTAGACGGGAAAACGCGCCAACGGCGGGTTCTGTGTGGCCCGAAAGTGGCGAGACCGAAGGCAGACGCGGTTCTCAGGACGACTGTCCCCAACGCGAGGCGACTCCCGGACCGTCCGAGGTGTGTGTGGTGGCGGGACGCCCGGGATGTGAAGGGCTGCAGCCACTGCCCGCCCTGCACGGACGACGCCTAGCGCCAAGCGCAGGTTCCAGCTCAACGTAGGAAGAGAAAAACCCTCCGGCCGCGGGCGTGAGGCGCCCTCCGCTGCGCTGTGCGCTACCCGCGCGCGCCCTGGGGGCGGGGCCGGGCGGGGCGCGAGGGGCGGGGCCGGGGCACCACAAGGCCAGGGCAGGGCCGCGAGCGGTGGGCGGGGCATAGGTCTGGGCGGGGCCTGCGCATCTGGGTGCTTCGCTAACTGCGGGGTGGTTTTCTGGGTTTTAGATAAAAGTCCTGCCTGTGGGGCTGGAGCAGCTAGCTGGGATCTCTCTGGGATTGTCAGTGTGAGTCGCTGATTGGATTCAAGAAAGTTCCTGCTATCGAAATTCATTTCAGTGATTTAATTCGAACCCCCTGCAATTGTCTATGAAGGGGATGCAATCCAGAATGCGAAATGCAAAACTCTGGGCACAATGTGCATTTCTCATTTTCTTTTTGAGACAGAGACTCCGTTGCCCGGGCTAGAGTGCCCTGGCCTCAGCCTAGCTCACATCAACCTCCAACTCCTGAGCTCAAGCAATCCTTCTGCCTCAGCTTCCTGAGTAGCTGAGACTGCAGGCACGTGCCACCATGCCCAGCGAATTCTTTCTATATATATTTTTAGCTGGCCAATTAATTTCTTTCTATTTATAGTGGAGACAGGGTCTCACTCTTGCTCAGGCTGGTTTCCAATTCCTGACTTTGAGCAATCCTCCCCCCCTTCCCTGCTATAGTGGTAGGGTTACAGGCGTGAGCCACCTCCCTGGGCCATAATTTGGAATTTCTTTTTTTTTTTTTTGGGACAGAGTCTGGCTTTGTTGCCCAAGCTAGAGTGCCCTGGCATCAGCCTAGCTCACAGCAACCTCAAACTCCTGGGTTCAAGCAATCCTATTGCCTCAGCCTCCAGAGTACCTGGGACTATAGGCTTGTACCACCATTCCCGGCTAATTTTTTCTATATATATTAGTTGGCCAATTAATTTCTTTCTCTTTACAGTGGAGACAGGGTCTCACTCTTGCTCGGTCTGGTTTTAGCTCCTGACCTTGAGCGATCAGCCAGCCTCCCCCTCCCAGAGTGCTAGGATTACAGGCATGAGCAACCATGCCCGGCCAGTATGTCGAATTTTATGCTGACGCCCCTCAGAATAAAATAGAAATCTTTTCCCATTTTCTTCCCCACTCAATCCAGAGGGAGTCAACCCGGGCTCAGTTCCAGAGACTTTCACAGGGACATCAGCTGAGGTGTGTGGCGTGGAGGACCAAGGCCAATCGCTTTAAAAAAGCCAGTAAGTTTGTAAAAGTAGATATTAATTACCTAGTTCTTCCTTAAACTTCTTGTCTACTCCACACGAGATGAAATAACCTCAAATACCTTTTGGATAAACATTGTTGATATAATATGCTTACTTCAATAATTTCTAAATATACTGTAATTTCAAATTCACTTTATATGCATTCAGGAAATTACTAGAAAACATTTTCTGTGAAGATTGTAATCAATTTTAGGCTTTCTCTTTGTTTCCCCTTTCTGAACGTTCTGTCAGGTGTGGGTAACAAAGCCTACAAATTAGACAGACTTCAGAAGACATTTGAATTTGTTTTAACCTAAAGAATAATTAATGTTGCACTTTGGCCTATGGCAGAAGGTGGTGGTCCATCACCAGTCATTCTACTCATGCATCAGCTCCATGCCCTTTAGTTGAGGAGGATTTAAAAACAGTAGGCCAGCATCCTTCATTGTGTTTGCTTTTCAAGGTTTTCCCAGTGATTCTCATTTGCTTATGCTACTGTATGAAATCTACAATGAAATAAAATCTGATGGCATATACATAATCAAATCATATCAATTTTGCAAATGAGCTAAAGGAAAATTGGTGACTATTGTATGTAGGTAATCTCATCTATTACATATTATTTATATATCTTTCTATTATATTTATGCATCATATTTGATTATTTTATTTTATTGTTCTTATTATTTTATTATTTATTATCTTTATTACTGTGTATTATTTTTTCTATGTTTTTATTGTGGATCAGTGCACATATCATAAAAGTCATACCTGGTGACATTTACACATTCACAGCATTGTGTAACTATAGCAACTATCTACTTCCACAACATTTTCATCACCTCAAAGGAAACCCTGTACCTAACAAGCAGTCACTCCCCATTCCTCCTCCCTCAGGCAACCACTAATCTGCTATCTGTATCTACACGTTTGCCTGTTGTGGGTATTGCATATGAATGGAACTGTAACATATGTGACCTAATGTGTCCTATATTGCATTATTAGATTGTATGTTCTTTTACCTTTGGCTTATAACACAAGCCTTTTATGTCTTACATAATTATAGTAGCAATGTTCTGTTCAAACACTAATAGTTATATTGAAGTCTTCCTATTGTTCAATGATCAGTGAATATTTCAAATATCACTGATTTTACTGTATTTACAACATACCAGAATTTCCTGTTAAATGATCTCATCATGATGCTTTTGTGTGTGAGAAATTTTATACAAATCTTATACATCTTTTCTCTGGATATTCTACTATATAGACGTTCTGCCTTTAACAATGTCAATACTGGTAGAGTTCATTTTCTTAGAAAATTGCCATTGTTTAAGGGTTTCCAAATCAGTATTCATTGAATCATACAATTTCTTTAGTGTCTTTCAAATTTTAATGAAACTTATTGTCAGAACAGTTTTAGATTTCTAGATAAAAATTGCAAAGATAATACAGAGAGTTTCCAGTAGCCTCTACACAGTACAGGATCACTACTGAGATATATTTGTTAACAAATTCATACTTTATGCAGATTTCCTTAGATTTTACCTAACATCCTTCAACTATTCCTATATCTCCTTTATGGTACCACCTTACAAGCAGTGCTCATCTCTACTTATTTTCCCCGGGGCTTTGACAATTTTTCAGACTTTTCTTGCTTTGGAAAAACTTAAAGGTTTTGAGAACTATTGCTTCCATACAATGGCACTGTCACTGCTGGCACTGGCAAAAGCAACTCTTTTGGAACTTGTCTGGTGTTTTTCTCATGATTAGACTGGTATTATCTGGGAAAAGACCTTCAAGAAAAGTACTATGTTCACGGTATCATGTGAAGGGTGCACACTATCAACAGGACTTACTGCTGCTTGTGTTGACCATGATCACCTGGCTAAGATTGGGCTTGTCAGGTTTCTATGCTGTAAATGTAATCTCCACTCCCCTAGATACTGTATTCTTTAACAGGGAGTAACTGTCCACAGCCTACACTTGAGGAGTTGGGAATGATTTTCTCCCTCACTGAGAGGGGAGAATTTACATAACCTATTTGGATTTCTTTTGCATGCAAATATATCTTCTCCCCCATTTATTTACTTTTAAAATCATGTTTTTATATCCTAATAGGCTACCTAATGTTTTTCTTTTAAAAAAATTGTTTTTGTAGACACAGGTTCTCTGTTGCCCAGACTGCTCTCAAACTCCTGGGCTAAAGCCATCCTCCTGCTTCAGCTTCACCAATGTACTGGAACTACAGGTGTAAGCCACTGCACCCGGCCTATTTTTCAATATCAATTCTTGGCATCATTTTCTTCTTTGTACTCTTATCACATTAATCAATCATGCTCAGTCTCTTTGTGTCATCTCATTCCTCTCCCCACAACACAGAAAGGATATGAAAGCTCAGGGATCTCAGCGTTAGAAAAGAATTACATGTTTTTTTAAATGGAAGGAAATCTCAGGGAAGCAGAAAATCCAATGAGACACATATTTGACTCTGACTCCCTCATGGGTAAGACCTCAACATTTCCTGCTGTCTCCATGTGAGGCCATCTGCCTCCAGGACTCATGGAAATGAAGTAGCCTCTCTAAATCACTCCAACCATTTTTCTGGAGATATTAATACTTACTGGAAATTTCTAATCGTTTCTGGTATTTGAGAACTGGATAAAGTGTTAAAAAGTATTTCCAAGTGCAATGATGATTGTGGTCCTGTGGTGAGGTGAGGTCACAGGATAACAAATCTTCATCACAGGGCCTGCCTTTCACACACATCCTGGTGCTGAGATCTTCATGGTTTGTTTATCTGTCATCCCAGCAGCAAGAAGGAGTATGGTATTTTCTATTTTATTTTAAGAGGGTGCTTGTTAAGGGCAAGCGTATAACAGGAATCTAGAGAGGTTCTCATCGCAAAAAAAGGATCCTACCTGGTAGAAACTCGTCTAGATATCCCTTTGGGTTGTAGGAATAATTCCTGGGGTATTTGCTGAGCTTGTGGAGAAGGGAAGAGGTTAGTGAATCTACATCAATCCCTGATGCTGCTTAATATAATTTGATATGATCCACATTCATGATGATGGTTAATGTTTTATCCAAATAGTAATATACTCTGATATTTAAGTCAGTCCATAATTGTATTTCTACATACATTCACCCCAGAATTTCAAACAGTAATTGCAGGATAATACTGTTTCCCTGAAAATAAGACAGGGTCTTATATTTATTTTTACTCAAGAAGATACCCTAGGGCTTATTTTTAGGGAATGTGTTATTTTCCCCTCAAAGCCTCAGCTTGCAGCACACACTGGGTGGCCAGGACATGACAGGGGGAGCCAACCTGGTTGGTGGGGCTGCCCGCGCCTTTCCAGTCACCTCTGGGATACTAGCTGTCACGGTGGGGCAGATGAGAAGGGCTGCACGTCTTCTTTACCACTTGGCCAAGAAACGCATGGGTTGTGCAGACAGGCTGTGTAGCCACGATCAACACTAGGTTTTATTTTCCAGGTAGGGCTTATATTGCACAAATGCTTAGAAATCCTGCTAGGGATTATTTTATGTGTAGATATCAGTTTTGGGGAAAAACGGTAGGTATTGGTGATAAACCTCTTCATGTCATGATGAATAAAGATAATTTTTAAAGACAAGGTCTTACTATTTTGCCCAGGCTAAATTCAAATTCCAAGGCTCAAGTTATGCTTTAGCTTCAGCCTCCTAAGTACTTGGGACTACAAGCATGTACCACTATGCCTGGCAGAACAGTGATTCTGTGTGATATAAAGACAAATGTATATCAGACATAAGAAACAGCTCTTTAAATATAAATATAATTATTAGCTATTTCTGGAAGGAAAAAATAGAGAATATTGGATGTCATTTTGCATGGTAAAACTAGCACAAATGTACTATTACCTTGTAAGATTCCCTGGATCTGAATAGGAATGCCAGCCAATGGGAAGTGACTGGCCACCAGGCATTAGGAAATGGATATTATCTCCCCCTCACAAACTATAATTAAAATCTTGGAGACTTTCTCCCTTCTATATCATTATATTTTTATATAATTTTCAGATATGGTTAGCTGAGAAGATTAATTAGATATAACTGCTTAGTCTCAACACAGTTGCCTTTCAAACACCTGATCTTTGCCAACTCCCACATTAAGAGACTTTAGTTAACCCTCCTGCAATTTATCAGTTTTCACTGGATTAAAGAAACATTCCTTTTTAATAATCATAGAGCAACTAGTTTGTATCAGCCATTGACTTATGTGTACTTCCATGTCATAAAAATCTCCAAACAGCACTTTCATTTATGTATCCCCTCAATTTTTGTTGGTTTTTGTGAACCCGTTGGTGAATTTGCAGCCCCTAAATTTATCACTGAAATAGAACATGGAAAAAATTTACATTAAATATATCATTAGCATTAATGTATGAAAGGAAAATGCATGCATAAAAGTTTTTTTGTATTCTTGAAAATGAGCCATGTCATATGCTAATATGATAATCTGATATGTATACTTTTATAGAAAGTTGGAAAATGCTTCTAGCAAAATTACTTAATATTTTTATTGAATAAACATTCCACATATCTTTTATTAAATTAGAATGAAAATATATTAAGCAATTTAAACAGTATTCCAAAACATTTTCAAAAATCATATTGTGGAATGGTATCTATGAAAATTGTCACCAGGCGCAGTACGTTTCCCCAAAAATAAGACCTACCCATAAAATAAGCCCTAGCAAGATTTCTATGCATTTGCACAATATAAACCCTACCCCGAAAATAAGACCTAATGATGGGCAAGGCTACACAGCATATCTGCACAAACCATGCATTTCCTCACAGAGTACTAAAGAAGAGCAGCCCATCTCATCTTCCCCATGAGAGCTCTATTGCTCAACATGAGAGATTGGGGCCAATGGTTCTAAAGGAAATAGAGCTGCAAGAAATTCAGGATGGAATTTGGGCTTTGGAGAATTATGATGATGTTCCAGAAGACGACGACTTAACTATATTTCAATATAGATTGTTGTACCATAATTTAAAAAAATAACACATCCCCTGAAAATAAACCCTAGGGTGTCTTCTTGAGGACAAATAGAAGACCCTGTCTTATTTGGGGGGAAACACAGTAGGTCATGCCTATAATTCCAGCATTTTGGAAGGTAAAGGCAGGAGGATCTTATGAGGCCAGCGTTTGAAACCAGCCTGGGCAACATAGCAAGACCTCATCTCTACAAAAACAATTTAAAAATTAGCTGGGTGTGGTGACAAACACCTGTAGTCTACAACTACTTAGGAGGCTGAAGCAGGGGATCCCTTGAGCTTGAGAGTTCAAGACTGCAGCGAGCTATGATTGTGCCACTGCACTCCAGCCTGGGCAACAGAGTGAGACCCTGTCTCGAATGACTGAATCAAAATTATGCAATACAAATATCAGGAGTATAAAGAGGTAACATACAGGGTTTAATTAAGAGTCTGACTCCATTTTTTGGTGTTTGACTAATGATACCCTTTAAGCCTCTCCACTCTGGCTTCCTGTTTGGCCTTTCTAGGAAAGGTCACAATAAAGCCTACGAGTGCTCCATTCCTTGGCAGCAGGAATTCCCAATTGGTCCAGGTATCCTCACTGCTGCCTCCTGTCATCACCACTATAACATAAGGCAGTGATATTTCCCTGCTCTCAAGGCATTTTTGGACCAGTTTAGGAAGTCTACTCTGCTTCTCCCAGAGCATTGCAGTATGTGATAATTTACGTACCACTTAAACGTATAGCATCATCATTTTTGAAAAACAAACCCATTGTTGGGGATTGGTCAATGCAGGTCCAGTGAAGTGGTCACAGTAGAAATTACCAAAAATATAATAGGGTAAATATATGAAGTTACTAGGCTTATATAAAATAAAAATATTATGGTGTGCATTTATTCTTAAGAGGAAACTCATAACTATTAATCTTTTCAGATTAGTTCACCAAGCACTCTAAAGAGAACAAAGTTATTTTTATCCTTATTCTGTACATATACTTTTATTTTGTAATATTTTTCATATTGTATGTTTGTATTTTTACTTTGTGTAAATTAAAGCATATGCCATGTTATCTTATTTGGCATGCAAGATAGGCATTTAGAATATTTTCCTTTTTTGAGATAGAAGTCTCTATTTCCTGGGTTAGAGAGCAGTGGTGTCATCATAGCTCACTGCAACCTCAAACGTCTGGGCTCAAATGATCCTCCTACCTCAGCCTCCGAAGTACCTTGAGCTACAGGCATGCTTCACCATACTCAGCCAATTTTTGTACTTTTTTTAGAAATGGGGTCTCATTATGTTGCTCAGGCTGGTCTCGAACTCCTGACCTCAAGTGATCCTCCCTTCTGGGTTTCCCAGAGTGCAGGAATATAGGTGTAAGCCACCAGGCCCAGCTGCATTTAGATTTATAATACAATTCATTTTCAGCAGTAGTAACACAGGTTCAAGTCTCAGAATACAGAACTTCACTGCTATGGGATTTTCATTATACCCATATAAGTATCTCAAGTCAGATGGCAGAGATGACTCAAGTGCAAAACATACTTATAACTTCTGAATACTGTGTGTTGATACCACCACTAAAATACTGTTATAGATTCTTTACCCTTACAAATGGTACATTGTTATGTCAAATATGAAGTATCCTACTGAGGTGAAATAAAACTATGCTGGTAGAACAAACATGATTCATAGTTATAAAAAAGAATAAATGTTATTCATACATAAAACCTACGATACAGTTTGAATAAAACAATAGGAAATAATGCCAGCAGTTAAATGAGATTCCTGATCAAGCATATGCTATTGTGGTTCTTCTGATTCAATTCTCCTGTCTGATACCTGTTCTCTTTTCAGTTTGAAGAGTAACACTATTTTTTGTCAATCTTGATATCCAATAGCTATTTCCATTGAATAGAGATGGTGCTACCATTTCCCTGTACTATTTCCACTATATCACCAGTCCCAACTAACAGTACTTTCCTCCCATACAAATTCTAGTCTCCTATGGTATTGGATATCTGTATTTTGTCAGATTATGATCACATACTGCATTACTTTACTATTTACCACAGTGGTCTTCAGCATGGAAAAGGGTACCCTGAATGCAATGAGCATGACTGGTAATAATTTTACATTATTCTTAGCCCCTTCCAAATGCTAATTTTAAAAGGTAGTGTCCTTGATCTCCAGGAATGTGCACAGAAATAAGCCTCACGTAACAAAATAGGCTCTTTCCTCTAGAGGACCATGAAATGAGTGTAAGAAAGGCATCATATTAATAAAAAACAGATTCCAAACTTCAGTTTGAAAGTCAAAAATAAAGTAGCCTTTCCAAAAAACTTGCAATAATGAAATAAAATATTTTCTAACCTGACAATAATTGCACATTTCAAAAGTCCTTTTATCTTTGATATATGGCATGACTTTTAACATATTTTGACTTGTAATTATTAGGCAGTATATGTCAAAGGTTAATCTTAGAGAATTTGAGACTTCTTTATTCTATGAACTCTCCAATGTGGAGTGTATTATGAGAATTGATGAAATCTACAATATCATTAAATTTGTAAGTGTTGAGTATAAATTCTTTAATGAATCATAAGGGTGCACTTTAGTGAACTTTCTAGGTTCACTAGATTTCCCTTGTTTTTATCAAGTATGAACCTTTTGTGACAAAAAACTCTTGAATGTTGGATAAAAGTCTCCATACATTCAGTATATTTGTGCAGATCCTCTCCAGGAAGAACACTCTGATGTTTGACATCATGTTTTTATTTATTTATTTATTTATTTTTATTTTAGACAGATTCTCACTTTGTTGACTGGGCTACAGTAACATGGCATCAGCTTAGCTCATAGCAACCTCCAACTCCTGGGCTCAAGCAATTCTTGTGCCTCAGCCTCCCAAGTACCTGGGACTATAGGCATACACCACCATGCCCGGCTAATTTTATGTATATATATTTTTTAGGTGGCCAATTAATTTGTTTCTATTGTTAGCAGAGACAGGATCTTGCTCTTGCTCAGGCTGGTTTTCAACTCCTGATCTCTAGGGATCTGCTGGCCTTGGCCTCCCAGAGTGCTAGGATTACAGTCATGAGCCACCAGGACTGGCCGACATCATCAGTTTTGATGTTTCAATAAATGCCTAAGTATGCACCTTAGCTTTGTATGGTTTCACCGAAGATGTATTTTTTGATGCCTACTGAGTTTAAGGCCATGAAAATATCTGTCACATACATTATAATTACATGAAAGCTCATACATTATAACTATATGATGGAGAATTATGAATTTCCTGTTTTGATCATGCCTGAACTCATAACAAAGCTTTGAAACTCTCATCATATTTCTAAGTTCTCTCAGGTATGAATTATCTGATGATGTGTAAGGTGTGAATGTGGCAGAAGACCTTCCCACATTCATTACATTTGAACGGCTTCTCTCCTGTATGAGTTATCTGATGTGCCTAAGGAGTGAAAGTACACTAAAAGATTTGCATTTGTTAGGTTTGTCTCCAGCAAGAATTGTTTGGAGAATACTGATATCCAAATTCTACCCTGAGGCTCATCACATTCAATACATTTGTAAGGCTGTTCTCCACTATGCATTAACTGGCAGTTATTATGCCTTAAGTAATGACTAAAGGCTTTGCTGCATTCATCACACTTTAAAATTTTCTTTTACTGTGAATTATCTAATGTCTTTCAAGGCTTTAATGCTGACATAATACCTTCCCATGTTTATTACATTGGTTACATTGCCACAATAAAATTTCTCCACAGGATGAAATCTCTGATGATGTGCAACATATGAATTCCCACTGAAACCCTTGCCACACTCATTTCATGACACTTAAAAGGTTTCTCCAGTATGGATTCTATGATGGTTAGTAAGGCTTGAACGCACACTAAAGGTTTTGCTACACTTGATACACTTGTAAGGTTTCTCTCCAGTATGAACTCTCCGATGACTTGCCAAGAAGGAGTTTAGACTGAAGACCTTTCCACACTCATGACATTCATAAGGTTTCTCTCCAGTATGACTTCTGCGATGATATACAAGATATGAATTTTGACTGAAGACTTTGCCACATTCATTACATTTGTAAGGTTTCTCTCCAGTATGGATTCTTTGATGATTTACAAGGTGTGAAATATGATTAAAGACCTTGCCACATTCATTACATTTGTAAGGTTTCTCTCCAGTATGGATTCTTTGATGATTTACAAGGTGTGAATTTTGACTGAACACCTTGCCACACTCATTACATTTATAAGGTTTCTCACCAGTATGAATTCTTAGATGTTGCACAAGGTATGAATTGCGACTGAAGACCTTACCACAATCATTACATTTGTAAGGTTTCTCTCCAGTATGAATTCTCCAATGGTTTCCTAGGGATGACTTATAACTGAACACCTTGCCACATTCATTACATTTGTAAGGTTTCTCTCCAGTATGAATTCTCCGATGTCGTGCAAGGTGTGCAATATGATTAAAGACCTTCCCACATTCATGACATTTGTAAGGTTTCTCTCCAGTATGAATTCCGCGATGATATACAAGATATGAATTTTGACTGAAGACTTTGCCACATTCATTACATTTGTAAGGTTTCTCTCCAGTATGGATTCTTTGATGATTTACAAGCTGTGAATTTTGACTGAACACCTTGCCACATTCATTACATTTGTAAGGTTTCTCTCCAGTATGGATTCTTTGATGATTTACAAGGTGTGAATTTCGACTGAACAGCTTGCCACATTCATTACATTTGTAAGGTTTCTCTCCAGTATGAACTCTCCGATGTTGTGCAAGGTGTGAAATATGTTTAAAGACCTTCCCACATTCATTACATTTGTAAGGTTTCTCTCCGGTATGAATTGTCCAATGACTTGCTAGGGATGACTTATAATGGAACAGCTTCCCACATTCATTACATTTGTAAGGTTTCTCTCCTGTGTGGATTGTCCGATGTTGTACTAGGTATGAATTTCGACTGAACACTTTACCACATTCATTACATTTGTAAGGCTTCTCTCTAGTATGAATTGTCTGATGTTTTTCAAGCTGTGAAATTTGATGGAATGCCTTTCCACATTCATTACACTTGTAAGGTTTCTCTCCAGTGTGAATTCTCTGATGTTGGGCAAGGTGTGAAACTTCATTGAAGACCTTTCCACATTCATTACATTTGTAAGGTTTCTCTCCAGTGTGCATTCTCCGATGTTGTGCAAGATGCGAAATATTATTGAAGACCTTGCCACATTCTTTACACTTGTAAGGTATCTCTTCAGTATGTATTCTCTGATGACTCACAAGGCATGATTTTTTATTAAAGACCTTGGCACATATATCACATTCAAATCGTTTATCTTCTGCATGGATTATTTGATGTACAGTGAAATGTAAACCTTGATTAAAGGTCTTGCCACACTCATTACATTTATAATGTTCTGTCTCTATGTGTGCTTTCTGTTTCTGTGTAAATAATGAATCCATAAAATCATACTCATCTTCATGAGATATGTGGGGTTTGATAGTAGAAGGAATTCTGTCCAGTGGGGAAACCAAGAAATTGTTGACATAGTTCTCCATGTGATTCCATTCATAAATTTTGTCTTCATTCTTAAATAGCTGCAGTTCTGGTAGATGTGACTGAAAGTTTAATCCAAGCTCATTTTTAATAAGCGTATTTCCTACATTTCTTCTATCATGCTGATCTCTTCTACCATTGAGATTTTCCTCATGGGTATTATGGATTCCTTCGTAATGTCTTTCAGCAACTTGACACTGATACTGAAAATTTGGTATATTTTTCTGGATTTGCCTAAACCAAAAATCTTCCATGTCATTGCTTTTGTGCCTTTCCAACATCCCTGTTTGGGATATTTCTCCTGTATTACTGTTCTCTTTAGGTGGCAATTCACTTATCATACATATAGAAGACAGACCTACAAGATATAAAGAACCACAGGTTTATAATGAACTGCGGATGGTTATTAAATTCCTCCTATTGAAATACATAAAATGACACCAAGAGTAACATAGGCATAATAAGCAGAGTTATAAAACCTCCAATTGTGATAAGTTTTAGGAAAATGAGGTGTTTTTAAAATACAGAAAACGTCGTTACACATCATTGAAAATAATTGCAGGGAACCCTAATATGAAACAATCTATCACCAGACAGACTGTACAAACCTATACTGACCCTGGAAGAAGGAGGATTGTTCCACCATCAAGCCAAAGCACACAGCAATGAGCTGAAAGCACATGGCTAACCAATAATGAAAAAGAATTATGTACTTAAACTAGGAAAATGTATTAACCAGGGTCAGAGAAAACACTGTTTGGAACAAATTAAAAAATAAAATCCTATGTGACAAAATGCAGGCAACCATGGCCTGAATAATTCTGTTAGCCAAAATTCACCTGCTGAAGTTCTAGTCACAATCTTGCAAACACCATGCAATATACTTAGCCATTAACCAGCACTAACTTGTTAGAACAACCTTGAGATAAATTATCTCTTTTCAAATAAAAACAGGAGGTCTACAACATTTATATATCTAACCCCAATTTCCACATTAAGTGAGAAAAAGAAGACTTGATCCTGGGACTGCATGCTTACTCATGTTCTTAGGAACAACTGCTGATCCAAGCAGTACCAAAAACAATAGGTCATAGGAAACAGAGGAGCACAGGAAGGATTATTTCAAGGGAGACACAAGATCTAAGCTGTGTTGCTAATAGAGTTACTCATCCTTCATTGATAATGGTATGTCAGTCATCACCCAGAGCACCAGTGAAAATAATGACTCAGGAATACCCTGGGTGATGACTGCACAAGTGTCCTGGAGAAGTTTTCCAATAGGGAAAAACTGTCTATACTTGCACAGTGACAGCAGTGTGGCTGGTAAGGGGACCTTGTGGAAATCGGAGTGGTCACAAATACAAAAATTAATATGCTAAACCGTGATTGGATAGTCTATTTAAACCAAGAAGCCACATGAGGAAATTCCAAGGCTGGAGGAAAGGCAAGAGTGGAAGGAAGGAAGCAATGGAGTGAAGATGTTTGTGTGCATAGGGACGCTTCCTTGGCTGACGGTGCTGAGATGGGTTTGAGGAAACATAGCTAGTAAGAGGCTGTTGTCAAGTCCTGCCTTTGATCACATTACTGAAATTGGGAGAAAAGACAACCTTGTGAACTACAATATTAAACATATTTTCATATGGGCACGCAGGAGCAGACATTATGTTTGCAAATCTACAGAAACAGAAGCATACCATGTCAGTTAAAATTCTGGCCTTGGTAGAAAAGAGAAGCTGATGTAACCAACCAATACATAATGATACCATTCTTAACTATGAGAATAAACAGATTTAATGGAAACTCAGTTTGATGATGTGGAAAGAAATTAGATATACATGTCTTACATTATTTCATATGAAATTAAATTTATCAAATTCAATGGCCTCTGAATTCTATCTCTAGGCGTGTAATCTACATACAGATTCTAGATTGGGCGTTCTCTGTACAACCTAAAGGAAATAAATACCTAAATATGGCCATGGAGAAGAGATGGATGATTTCATTCTGTACACACAAAGATACGATGAAACTTTACAAAGATGACAGCAATGTAGGGAGATCATGGGTGCAGAATGATGATCTACTGGCTCATTAGGTAGAGATATGTTTGAAGAAACAAAGCTACAAGGCTTTGAGGTTTACCCTGGATCACATTAGTAAAATTAAATAAAAACTTCAATAACTATAATACTAAATAAAGAATATGTTACTTAAAAAAGGAATTTTGCCGGGCGTGGTGGCTCACGCCTGTAATCCTAGCACTCTGGGAGCCCGAGGCGGGCAGACTGTTTGAGGTCAGGAGTTCGAAACCAGCCTGAGCAAGAGTGAGACCGTCTCTACCATAAATAGAAAGAAATTAATTGGCCAACTAATATATATAGAAAAAATTAGCCAGGCATGGTGGTGCATGCCTGTAGTCCCAGCTACTCCGGGAAGCTGAGACAGCAGGATTCCTTGAGCCCAGGAGTTTGAGGTTGCTGTGAGCTAGGCTGACGCCACGGCACTCACTCTAGCTTGGGCAACACAGTAAGACTGTCTCAAAAAAAAAAAAATAAATAAATAAACAAAAGAGGAATTATGACACAAAAAATTTTGAAGAGTTAGTCTCCGTTTGTGGCATATAAAAGTTACAGTGCCTATTTGCTGGCCCATTTAATTATTTAAAATTTATCACTGGACCTCTTAAGACAGAACCTGACATAAATAAAAGGCAGGAGGGCTCATATCTGCATGACAGCAGACTGAAAATCTCCAGACCTCATTCCCTTAGGAAGACCAAGTTACTAATATATCATACAGAACACCATTGGCTAAAGTCTTGAAACAAGACAGCCCTCTGAATTACTTGACAAAAATGTAAAACAGCTATCTTAATCATGCTCAATGAGCTACTAAATAACTGAGATAGACAACTAAATGAAATTAGTAAAAAGATATATGAACAAAATGAAAATATAAAAAGGACTAAAAGTACAAAGAACATCCAATCAGAACTTCTCCAGTTGAAATGCAGTGACTTGAAAAAAATACACTAGATGGGTTCAACAGCAAACAACATAAAGCAGAAAAGAAATGAAAGAACTTCAAAACAAAGTACCCTGTTTCCCCAAAAATAAGATAGGCTCTAATATTTATTTTTCCTCAAGAGGACACCCTAGGGCTTATTTTCAGGGGATGTGTTATTTTTTTTTAAGTACAGTACATCAATCTACATTTATTCAAATATAGTTAAGTCATCTTCTTCTGGAACATCATCATAACTCTCCAAACCCCAAGTTCCATCCTGAATTTCTTGACACTCTATTACCTTTAGAACCATTGGCCCCAATCTCTAATTTCCAGCCATAGAGGTCTCATAGGGCAGATGAAAAGGGCTGCTCGTCTTCTTTACCGCTCCAAGAGAAAACGCATAGGTTGCGCAGATAAGGTGTGTAGCGGTGCCCACCACTAGGTCTCATTTTCGGGGTGGGGCCTATATTGCGCAAATGCTTAGAAATCCTGCTAGGACTTATTTTATGGGTAGGTCTTATTTTCCAGGAAACATCGTATTATAAAACAGGCCACTGAAAACGCAAAGTGAAAAACTGACAAAAAGAAACAGCCTAATAGAGACCTCAAGGGCAGAGGCCCTGCTGGAGAGCCTGGCCCTGATGGGTGGGAGAGCGGCGGCGAGTTCGAGCCCCACCGCTCACACAGCACCTGCCCGGCCTTAGCGACCTCGGACTGCGCAGGACAGCAGGGAGTCGCCAGGCGCCCAGGCAGCGCCTCTCGGTGGTCGGTGGTCGGGAGGCGCCGTCGCAGGGCGAAGGCCGGGGGGCGGGGCTTGGGGCGGTGGGACGGATTTCCTCACACAGCCTCAGTCAAGAGAGGGAGAGGCGGTCCAAGCCACTGTGGTGTGCCACGTGGCGGGACCAAGCTGGGCTCAGCGATGGCGGGCACAGAGGCAGTGTAACGCAGGGAAATGACGGGCCAACTAACGAATGATTCGCCACAGCCCACATGCCCAGGAAAGGGAATTGAGAGCACATAGGGGAGGGGCGGCGACAGCTACCGGCTGCCAGAGAGCCGGCTCGGTCCCCAGAGCCCTAAGTGGAGAGCCAGACATGCGCAGTGAGCCCAGGGTGGCTGCCAGCGGGAGGGGCTGGCGCGAGCCCGCTGACGTGTTTGTCCGGTTTTCTGGATGGGCGGTCAAAGCGCAAGTGTGAGGGGGAAAGGCGGCAGAGCCGGGTGGTGAAATGCGCATGCCCTGAGTGAGCCGGTGGCTCTGGGAGGCTGTGGAAGGGCTCTTGGAGGAGAAGCAGGGAAAAGGGAAGCCAAGGGAAGAAAAGGGCGGGGGAAGGAATGAGACTGAGCTCTGCACATCCGTGCCAGCCCTACAGACTAAGAGTAACAAAAACAAACCAGCCTTATAGTTTTCTGACACATCATCAAATGAAAGAATATAAATACGTTCAGAGACTCACAAAGACAAGGGCCATTTGAAAACTCATTTGAAGAAATAATTTCCAAAATATCCCAAATTCAAGGAAAGAAATGGATATACAAGCTTAAGAAGCTCAACCAACTCCAACTTAATATAATCCAAACACACCCCCACGATACACATTGGAAACAAATCATTAAAAGGCAATAACAAAATGAGCATCATATACAGAGCAAGAGCAAACAGACTGGTGATATACAAGGGAACTTTATGTATGATTACCTACATTTCTCAGCAGAAACCTTTCAGTACAGAAAGCAGTGGGATGGTATGTTCCAAGTAGTTAATGAAAAAAACGATCAACCGAGAATCCTATACTTTGCAAAATTCTTTTTCAAAAATAAAAAGGAAATTTACACCTTCCCACATGAAGAAGAGTGAGGGAGTTCATTAGCCCTCTAGACCTGTCTTAGGAGTAATGTTAAAGAGAGGCTATCAAGTTGAAACCAGAAAATGCTAGATAGTAACTCCAACCCATAATTAAATATAAAGTTCTCCAATAAAGGTAAATAAATGGATACAAGAACCTTCATAATTGTACCCCTTTTTTATAACTTGACGTTTCTCTCCTAACGTTAAAAAGAAAAAAGCACGGTGGCTCACGCCTGTAATCCTAGCACTCTGGGAGGCCGAGGCGGGCGGATTGTTTGAGCTCAGGAGTTCGAAACCAACCTGAGCAAGTGCGAGACCCTGTCTCTACTATAAATAGAAAGAAATTAATTGGCCAACTAATATATATAGAAAAAATTAGCTGGGCATGGTGGCGCATGCCTGTAGTCCCAGCTACTTGGGAGGCTGAGGCAGGAGGATTGCTTGAGCCCAGGAGTTTGAGGTTGCTGTGAGCTAGGCTGACGCCATGGCACTCACTCTAGCCTGGGCAACAAAGCGAGACTCTGTCTCAAAAAAAAAAAAAAAGAAAAAAGCATACAAGTATACTATAGATATATATTAATGGAGATACAACATATATAGAAATACTTCTGACATCAATAACAAAAAGTCAGTGAAGATATAAAGGAGTACTTTTTGCAGGTTATAGAAATTAAGTTGTTATCAGTTTAATACTTTACAACGTTAAGATGTTTAATATACCTGTAATTGTATCCTTGCCTTCAAAATATCTACAAAATATACACAAAAATAAATAAAAGGGAGTACAAGCATGTCTCTACAATAAAGCAACAAGACATAAAAGAAGACGGTAAGTGAAAAATGAGGAACAAAAAATCTTACAGGAAATACAGATAGTACACAACAAAAAGACAATAGTATGGCTTTCTCCATTAAAAATAGTTGAAATGTCACTATCTAACTCAGGACTCGGAAGACACAGATTGGAGGAATAACAGGATCCAACTACATGTTGTCCACAGCATACTCACCTTAGCTCTAAGGATACAGGCTGAATTTGAAAACATAAAGAAATGATACTGCAAGTATATGGTATCCAAAAGACAGCAGAGGTGGCTATACTAATACACACTTTAACTTAAAAAAATCTTTAATCAGAGACAAAGAAGGACAGTATATCATAATGAAATGATCAACTCACCAACAAGGTACACTATGTCAAGAAATATCATAGTTCCATATATAAAGCAAACATTTACCCATTTCCATAATGGATAGAACAATGAGAGTTGATCAATAAGAAAGTAGAGGATTTAACTATCAATATAAACCAGTTGGACCTAACAGACACACACAGAACATACTACCTCAAAATAACAGAATATAAATGTTTCTGTGACGTACATAAAGTAATCTCCAAACTTGACCTGATGTTAGGACACAAAAGGAAGTTTTAAAAAGATTTTTAAAACACTGAAATCATACAAAGTATGTTTTCCTGTAAGAGTGGAATAAAACCGGAGATCAATAGTATAAGGAAAACTGGAAAATCAACAAATATGGGTACATAAAGACACTTTTAACCAATGTGTTAAAAAAAACCACAAGGAAAATTAGAAAATAATGTGAGACAAATCAGAAAGGCAACACCACACACCAAAACTTATGGGATACAAAAACACCCAGAGGAGTTGAAAGAGTTTTTCCTATAAAGCCTTACATTGAAATAGAAGATCTCAAATCAATAACCCAATTTAATACCTTATTGAAGCAGAAAAAGAAAAACACATCCAAAGAGAGCTGGAAGAAGGAAATAGTAAATATTAGAGCCAAGACAAAGAATAAAAAAGTATAGTGGAAACCAGGAAAATAACAGTTCTTACTTTGAATAGATTCTGAAAACTGAGAAAATTAATAATATTAAATAACAGGAAAACCTCAAAAGCAAAAGCAAAAATAGACACATGAGACTACATCAAGCTAAAAAGCTTCTGTACTGCAGTAAAAAAACAAAAGAGAACAAAACAAAACTAGCAAAATGAGACAACTCGAAATTGGAGAAAATATTTTCAAACTATCTACCTATAAGAAACTCAAACAACTAAACAGCAAAACACTAAAGAAGATGATTTAAAAATGGGCAAAAGACCTTAATAGACATTTGTTACGATATGATTAACATCTCAAATTATCATGGAATTGCAAATCAAAACCATAATGATATACCATCTTGCTTTAGTTACAAAGGCCATCACCAAGAATAATAAAAATGAAAACAAGTGGTGGCAAGGATGTGGACAGACAGGACGATTATATACGTTCGGTGGGAAGGTACAGCCATATAGTAAACGATATGAAGGTTCCACAAGAAACTAAACGTACAACTACCATATGATCCAGAAATGCAATTAGTGGGTATATATCCAAGGGGAAAAAAAAGAGAATCAGTATACTGAAGTCATATCTGTACTCCCATATTTACTGCATGATTTACAATAAACACAATGTGAAACCAACCTTGTGTCTATCAACTGTTGAATGGATAAAGAAAAGGGGCATATATACACAATGTAACGCTATGTAGCCATAAAAAAGAATAAAATTGTGTCATTTGCAACAACATGGATGGAACTAGAGGTCGTCTTGTTAAGTAAAATAAGCAGGCACAAAGAGATAAATATTGCATGTTCTCATGCACATGTGGGAGATAAGAAAATGGAGGTAAAGAGTAGCACGGTGGTTAAAATGCTTTGAGAAAAGGCTGGGTGCGGTGGCTCATGCCTGTAATCCTAGCACTCTGGGAGGCCCAGGCAGGCTGATTGCTCGAGGTCAGGAGTTCGAAACCAGCCTGAGCAAGAGCAAGGCCCCGTACCCCCATAATATGCCGAAATAAAAAAACAAACAAACAAACAACAAAAAGGGAACATCATGTGCTGGTGCTTTTCCAAAATCCCAGCCCCACATTAAGGTAGGAGGAAGCACATTACAGATGGATCTAGGAAAATATTTCACAAATTCATCCACTGAATGTCCACCAGTGAATGCTTATGGAATACTGTAAGACGCAGATGTCTTGCTGTCTTCCAAAAACTACTAAATCAAAAGCATGGGGGCAAAAAACAAAGAATTGGATATTTTAAAAGCTACATGGCTTTATGCATACATCAGCCTAATATGGTGAAGGGAAGAACATCTGAAAAAGGGGAACAGGTAAAGTCCAGATGGTACATTATGAAGCTTTTAATTTCTCTATCAATATAGCTTCATTCAGTCAGCAATGCGGAGGGGTCCCAAGAGGCAATCAGGGAAAATATACACATCGTGACTTTTAGAGAAAAGTAATTCTCACCCAGGGAGACCAGGTTCCTATAGTTCTCCAACATCACGTCCCTGTATAAAGTCCTCTGAGCAAGGTCCAGGCACATCCATTCCTCCTGAGAGAATTCTATGGCCACATCCCTGAATGTCAAAGGCCTCTGAAATGAAAACACATTTTACCGAAGGGTTATGGAGAGCGTTTTTATGTTTATACAAAAAGAGAAGAGGAAAGAGGTGAAAGGATCAATTCATTGAATTGGACGTTCTGACAAATCCAAGTAAGGTATTTTTGAGCACATTGTTTTTCCCTAATTCTCTTTTATTATACTTTTCCACTAAAAGTTCTAACTCCCTCTAAATGAGTATGGATTTTCTTATTTTTGTAGACAATAGAAGAAATATACAAATGAAAAAATCAATGCAGGGTTATCTCTAGAGATGTATTAGGTACTACTTGTGACACTGGAGTGATATTCAGTATCTAGATGAGCTAAAGTATAAATGGTGACTTCAGAGATGACAACATCTATGACGCCTTTAAAGAAAGGTCAGAATCTAAAATCCAACATGATGAGAGCAATGGCAGTGACTGAAGCTTCTGAACACTTCTCATGTGCTAGGCGCTATTCCAAACACAAAAACAAACAGAAAAGATGGCTGACAAGTGAAAAGGCAGAGGGAGAGTGTTTACTGGGTACATATTTTCAATTTCCCAATACAAAAAATTTCTAGCAACTTGTTGGACAATAATTTGAATACACCTAACATTACTGAACTGTGAACAAGGGAACAAACTTTACTAAAACACGTATCAAAGACATGATCAAAGACCAGAAAACCCAATTCTCACTGGAAGATGTGGAGATGTAAAGACCTCTGTGATGAGAAGCCATTCAAAGACAAAGAGAACATATGAGATTTCCATGAATCTGACTGTGTCGTGTCACAGGAGAACAAACATAATTAAGAAAAGAAAAAGAAAATGGAGGCATTTACCAGGCTCAACACGAACCTCTTATAACATTACATAAATAAAATACTTGAAATAAGATATACATAAAAATTCAAATTAAACGGAGACATAATCAAAATGTTAAACAATAAAAGTTTAGATGTAAATGAAACATACTATTCTGTAATTGTGCAAGGCCTTCCAAATAAAGATAAACAACAGACACAAGCACAATAAAAACCAGGTGGTATGAGAAAAAAGTTGCTGTTTCATATTTAAAGAATGTATAACCTAAAAAAAGACACCAGGATATGTATAAGGAATATAAACCACAGGATACAAAATAGATCCTGAAATATATGAACTCAAAATTGAGCAAAGTATGAAAATCCTTTTTATATATACATGTCCAGAAAATAACGAAAACCATGCTGACTTACAAGAAACGGAAAAATGTTAATAGAAATGTTTGTCATTTTCCCAGGGTTTGAAAAATATAAAAAGAACAAAGTAGCAAGTTTTGTTTAATGAGGGAGAATCTCACACGTTCTAGGTAGCAGAGGGTATCCCTGCAGCTGGGGTAGGGAAGCAATCTTAGCAGATCTAACAAACTATCGCCTGCTTCATCCCAGAGGCAGCAATCACTCTTTCAAGTGCCAACCTGAAGGAACCTTCAAACGTCTGTAGAGATGTAGGCAGCCACAGAGGCAGCCACTGTGACATTCTGTATAACAGTGAAAAATTATAAAGATCCACGTTCAGAGAATACTCCAACGAAAATGTGAAATAGCAAGCTATCCATGTTTACTGACATGAAAACATGTAAATTCTCACAACCAGCAGGATAAATAATCACAAAGAAACTTTCCCTGAAGAATTCTTACTAAAATCTCATAACAACGGGGAATATATCTATACAAAACTTGCTCTGCCTCCTGCCAAACAATTGACAGGAGTGGTCCCCAAGTGACACTGGACGGATGGTGGCAGATTAACAGAGGGAGCTTTACATCTCAAGGTCTCAGCTGCATCTTTGTGTGGAGTTGTCCTTTAATACAAACATACACGGGAAGTGATGTTTAACATAAAAAATATATATTTAATAACAATTGGTGGAAAGAAAATATGGCTGCACCCTCTCTGATGACAAAGTAATTCTGCTTCAATACCTGAGCAAAATTATAATCATTTTTACCTAAAACACCTGTTGCAGAAAAGGTTCTGCAAGAACACCAGAGTCTCCGTGGAATGGATGTGCTGAGAATGGTTTAAAAACTTTCCTGCTCTTCCACTAACCAACTCACAGATGTGAACCTTCCTGAGAACCAGAGATCTGTACAAGTGACAGAAAGTGACCTCAGAAGTGAGTCTGAGCTTCTAGTCACTATTGGAGCCACTGTACCTACTGGCTTTGAGAAAACAGCAGCAGATGAAGTGAGAGAGAAATTGGGGTCATCATGCAAAATCAGGAGAGACCGTGGCAAGATATATTTTGTCATTTCAGTGCAAAGTCTGGCTCAAGTTCACTGTTTGAGATCAGTTGATAACTTATTTGTGGTGGTTCAGGAATTTCAAGATTACCAGTTCAAAAAAAAAGAAAGAATGCGTTCTAAAGGATTTTGAAGACTTGGCTAGAAAACTTCCATGGTCAGACCCTTTAAAAGTATGGAAAATTAACACCAGTTTTAAGAAAAAAAAAAGTGCAAAAAGATAAATCAGAATTCAAGTAAAGGGAAGATTAATAATGGAAAAGAGAAGAACAAAATAGATGAGACAGGTATTAAAGAGTTCCTTGACAGTGCTTTAGATTCACATATCTTAGATTACTATGAAAATCCAGCCATCAAAGAGGAGATATCAACGTTAGTGGGTGATGATATGGCATCCTGTAAAGATGAGACTGACGAATGACAAGAAACCGAGCCTCAAGTGCTGAAGTTCAGAGTTACAAGCAACAGGGCAGGGGACAAACAATGCTTTACCTCCAACGAGGTGGCAAGAGATTTTGGAGGTGCCGTTCAAGATTATTTTAAGTGGAAGGCTGACATGACCAACTTCGATGTGGAGGTTCTCTTGAAGAAGAAATGTCACTGGGTCACAGTGAGATGGAAAGGCAGTGGAGATGAGAGGGACTGAGGGAAGGCACGGGTGAGTGTGAGCAAACACAATAGGCAGGACGCTTCAGAGTCACAGATCAGCAACTCCAGTGCCCGGCGTGTCAGAAAGGAGGGGGACACAGAGCCACCCACTGAGAACATCACCTTACCTGAGTCACAGCCATTCCTGACTCCTTTCCTTTCCTCTTCTGGACTTCTTCTACACGTAACTGGAGTGTTTACAAGTCAATCCTGAACAATAAAAATATGCTGTTTAATCCTCAGAACCAACACACCCCCTTGTGTGACAACCACACACACAGGTTGGAGACTGGATACTGCTGAGGACATGGCTCTAAGCAGGGAGCAGAGTCAGCGGGTGCGGGGGGTGCCGGGCTTACCACCTCTGAGTGGAGCTCAGCCCTGGCTTCACATTAGGGTGTTGAGGCATTCTGCGACTTCATCTCTTATGCCCTCTTACTGGAGATTCCCATTGACAGTGTTAGGTTAGGCACAGGCTTAATAACATTTAGAGTTGATTCTATTCTGTGTCCAGTCAAGGTTCTGAGTCCTCCATTTGTCAGGGCTGAGGTCCCTGCAGGGGTGAGGGGGGCTGTGCTCTGCATCCTGTTTGGTTGGGGCTGGCTCTGGCCCAGGAGGGGAGCTCAGCCCAGCCCAGCTCCCCACTGCTGCAGCCTGTGGGAAAGATGGTCCCCTGTTGCCCATGGCCCCAGGAGAGATGCAGAAACAATAAACTCCTGCAGGAAGCCCAACCAGTGAGTTTTTGACACCTTTTGTCAGATCTTGTTCCCCTCCTGGTTAAGCCCACACACTCACTGCAGCAAGGGAAATGGGAATCTCTAGTAAGAGGGTTAAGACATGAATCTGCAAAATGCCTCAACACCCTAATGTGAAGCCAGGGCTGAGCTCCACTCAAAGGCAGTAAGCCTGGTAAAACCTCCCACCCTCTGACTCTGCTCCCTGCTAAGGGACATGCCATCACCAGTGTCCAGACAGTGGAAGGTGAAGGAGCAGAAACTAATAGCCATTGTACAATATGGTCCACAGGGGGGGTTGAGAGTATTGCTGGAATGTTAAATAGGGGCATGTCACAGAAGTCCCCACTGAGAAGGGGATATCAGAACAAACACCAGGGAAGGAATGCTGTTTGTCATCTACAGCTGAGGGACCACAGGGTTCTAGGCAGAGGATCAGGCAACCTGGAGGCCCTGAGGCAGGAGCCACCTTGGCCCCAGGAATAGGAAAGAGGCCTGCGAGGCTGGAGCAGAGCGAGGACGACACAAGCAGGAAATGAGGCCAGAGAGGTCTAGGGGGAGCAGAGCAGGCAGGGCCAGGTCTGCACACATTTCTCTCCCACACCTCAGAAGAACACTGGAAATGATGTATTTCCTCACCTGTTTTAAGTAAATATGTAAATTTTTTTATTATTAAACCACTTACGAATAATATAGTATTTCCTATGTTTTAAATATATGACAGTGTGCTCAGCTAAGCCCCAGGAAGCACAGGGGGGCCTCACCTGACATGTGGGGACTTCAAGGAACACATTTTGGGTGTTCAGAAAGTTGCTTTTGGACATTTGAGGGTGGAGATGCCTGTGAGATGGTCCAGCACAGATGTCACAGGGACAACTGGCCAGAGGATTCCAGAGTTCAGGGGAGAGGGCTGCAGGGGAAATGAAGACATGTAGTGGGGCTTAAAGCATGAGATAAGATGTTAAGGAAAGGCAGGGGGTGTGCACAGAGAAGAGAAGAGGTTCAAGGGCAAAGCTGTGGGTCACTCTCACATTCACAGAACAAGGAGTTCAGGAGACTCCAGCAGAGACAAGTGTGAAGTCTTTAGGAGCCAAAAAAAAAATTAAAATAGGCCAGGCACTATGGCTCACACCTACAATCCCAGCACTTTGGGAGGGTCACTTGAAGCCAGAATTTTGAGACCAGCCTGAGCAATATACTACCAAGACCACGTCTCTAGAAAAAATTTAAAAATTAGCCAGGCATGGTGGTGCATGCCTGTAGTCTCAGCTGCTCAGGAGGAGGCTGAGGCAGAACGATGGTTGGAGCACATAAGTTTGAAGT